TAATAGATAGGGTGCTATTGGCCACTTCAAATTGCAGTAGCCAATAGCATGCTGGCTAATGTACCCGCCCACTGCTGCTGTCAATTAGCAGAGGAGGACCTTAAGGAGAACTTTTTATTCTGACAGTGGCCTTTGTCAGAACACAAAAACAAACAAAAAACCAGCAGATAGAAAGGCAAGCGTTAGCTCCTCTGCTATCAACCTGCAATAAAAAAACAAAAAACAGCAGATAGCATGGGGTCCAGGAAAGGTTGACTCTGCTAGACAAGAGCAGCGGGTGTCAGGGAGCCGCTATCTTATAGCTGGAGACTGTAGCCATGGCAGCCTGTTGAAGGGCAGAGTGTCCATGGCTACAGTTCAGAGGGGGGTAACTGGGGCAAATGGATGATGGTGCTGAGCTTATTGTGCCTAAGATAACCGTTTGAGCCGTAACAAGTGGCGATAGTAGGTGCCATGACAACCTGTCACAGAAATATTTGCCTCCATGGTAAATAATTAACTGGTGGAGCCTGTCTGCAAAATAAGACATTTCCGGGGGCGAAGAGCTGACCAGTATCACAAACCTTGTGGTATAGAAATCACCTGAGTGCTTGTATTTCATGACCTCCCCCCCACTAATGGTCTCATTTATAGGAAGCAAGTTGTGAAATATTCAGTGCCGAAAAGAAACAATTAGAATTTTTATTGCTCAATTCAACTCCAGTTTAATCAGCAAAAAAAAGAATAAAAGATCAAAATGAAACGCCGTCACTGCACAATAAATAAATGAAAAACGTAAGTTTCACAGCACCGCGGTAAAAATGGCGACCATCTCTTCACTGTAAAAACTGGTTCAGCTTTTTCTGGATGTTCTCGAAAGAATGTCTTCCCATGTAATCGATGTGACCTTGCTCCCACTTTTTGCGCTCCTCCTCCCCCTGCAATTTCTCTTCCGCCTCACGGAGGGACAACTCCGACGCAGACTGCACGAGATGAGCCTGGGGAACATGGAACGCAAATGGAACCCATCAGGATCAGGTATTAAAGGCCGACCCCACCCAAAAATGATGGGCGCTGGTCTTCTAGAAGACTTGCCTTGTGTCTCTGCCCCTCCCACATGACCATACCACGGGTGTCTCTCCCTGTCTATGTTTATTGTACACCGTGGACAATTCCTCCGAGGAACGTGACACCATCATTTGGAGTTATAGCGGCCATAAATCCTTAATTTTTTTAGGCTGCCTTTGCTGACCTCTCCTGAAAATGTAAGTTGCTGGGCTGCAATGTTAGTCCAATGGCTTCAGTACATTTGTGGGGCACTGCTCAAGTATGCAGATCAAGAGTTATGACTTCACTCCGATCTTCTAATTCGCAAGCTAGTTCTGGGTCAGTGACATAGCTGTCTGAGTCCCCTATTGGGGAGATATTCCCTCACTTCCTGTCTGTATAGGAAGTGATGGGAAATCTCCCCAGACTGGGATCCATACAAAGATACATTTTTAGTAGAAAGGGGAAGGGTTAGAAGGTCTGACAATTATTTTTTTTACTGTCTGTGGTTATCTGTTCCGGTCACAATCGCTCACCCCTTTTCTAGTTCTGGTGTCACATGGACAGGAAGTCATGGGTGAACTCCCCAAATGGGGAACTCAGGCAATACACATTTTCTGTAGAATGGGGAAAAGTTAGAATGTCTGACAATGATTTTATTGCTGTCTGTCCTTTCCTGTCCCTGTGACAATTGCTCACCCCTTTTCTAATCCTGGTGTCACATGGACAAGAAGTAAGGGAAAATCGCCACAATGGGGTCACAGACAAAAAAAAAAAGTAGAGAATTTAACTCACTTCTAAACTAAAAAATGTTGGCTTTAGTTAGCCTTTAAAGCAGGGGTAAGCAAACTCCCACCCTCCAGCTTTTGTGGAACTACAAATCCCATGAGGCATTGCAAGACTCCGATAGCCACAAGCATGACTCCCAGGGGCAAATGCATTATGGGATATGTAGTTTGGAGGACCGGAGTTTGCCCACCCCCTGCTTTAAAGGCTTCCTGACCAATCTGAAAGCTCCCTTTACACAATCACGATAGGCATACTTAATTGGATATTAGGATATATATGGTCAGGCCCGGATTTCCCACAAGGCCACCGAGGCCCGGCCTCGGGGCGGCAGAGCGCAGAGGGGCGGCAGCGTAGGTGTGACTATCAGAATAAAATATATTGTTTACTGGCCAGAGTCTGCAAATACTGAACAACAACATGAACACACACACATAGAATATCTGTAGACAGTAATATGAGGAGAAAAATGCAATCATTTTGGAACAGCAACTAAAATGGGTCGGCTGCAGTGGGATTTGCTTAGCAGGAGGAATCGCTGGAAGATAATTATCACAATTAGAGGTAGAACGAAGACACACCAAAAAATATAACAGGGTTCAAACCACTATACACTGGGGGGAATTTATCAAAACTGGAGTAGTGCCCATGGCAACCAATCAGCATCTCTCTTCAGTTTGTTCAGTTAAGATTTCAAAATGAAAGAGAGACGCTGATTGGTTGCCATGGACAACTGCTCCAGATTCTTCTGCTACTGTATTGATAAATTCCCCTCAGTATGTTTTCTTATTTCACTTTAAGACCCAGACCCGCTCTATTATATTTCTATATTCACTGAAATGTTTGGTCAGAGGTGGGTGAAAATGCAAAGGCACGCGTTTGAGATAAAACAATAGAATGTTATATTTTCTGGTGTTATCGGGCACCTAATGAAGCATCTGTGACAATCTAAAACAATAAGAAGCAATTTGATTGCGTGAACAATTCAATTAACGTTGAATCAGGTTTTGAACATTCGTTTTTTTTCATTGCAACATAATCAAAAGCATGATCAATGACAAAGCCACTGAGAAGCTCTATCTATAGCGGAGGAGCAGCGATAGCGGTGAAGGATCCAGTAATAATACCATGTGGATGCTGTCTTGGTTTACAGGCTGCTGGTTGAGCTGAGATGGGAGTAGGAGGTCTTGAGCTTGTACACTGCCATCTGCTGGAGGCTGCACAGAGCTAGTATCAGGCAGCTAGAAAGACAGCAGTTAGATGTATTCGTTATCCCTTTATTACCACCTTTTGCTAACATTGGGGCTAAAATATAAAAAGAAAATTGTGCTTATCCATCGCTTTCATTTAAAAAACAAACAAAAAAAAAACACAAAAGGGCTGATTTATAAGCCTTCCAGTGCCGTTCACACAACACTACAACCACTAGATGGAGCCGAGGAGCATAGGAAATTCTTATGCTCCTCAGTGCCATCTAGTGGTGGTAAAGCCGTGCAAACGGCTTTCGCCCAGCTACACGCTGGGCTGAAGATTCATACATCAGCCCCTATGTCCTGTCCTCTAGTTTATAAAGAACGGCACGATATAATAGTTACAGTGGAGCTATGGGCAAAAGTAAAAATGACATATATGATGATGAGTCTGTCACTAGCTTTAACAGAGAAGTCTTTGTTTTTATAAGTCTCCACGTAATAAAGTTTTGCTACCTGTTGATCCTGCCAGTAGATCCATTATTTTTCCATGTCCTATAACAGGCCAAGCTGTCCAGCAAAAGTGACCGTTACAGGGTTTGTGACAAATCGTATAACACAGACAGGGGTGCTTACAATGGTTAACTTTTGTTCCTATGGTTTAAACTTTTTTTTGCTGTAGCCGCTACAAAAGTGTAAGATGGAGATTCATTGGTTTGCCCTTACTCAAAGTCCATTTAAAGCTAAATGTCCATGGTGCAATTAACCGCATTGTCACCCTGTCAAAGGAAGTGGAACCATCAAATCTTTCTTGCTTTACTGGCCCAGGAGATCAACACTGTCCATGGTGCTCACAGCTCTGTACATGGGGCACATTCTATGTCACATGGTTTCCCAGTTTATAAAGGTCAGGGCCACATCCTCTATCCATGTAAACTTACTGTGCTATCAGGACTGCCTGCTGGAGCTTCTTCGATGGAGTCCAAGGACGTATCATTCTTCATCTGAAGTTCCATCCTCCCAAACTGGTGGTGGAACCAAACACAAACATGAGAATAAACCGCTCAATACATTGTCCTACACCGATCCTACAGTGTCCTACACCGATCCTACATTGTCCCACCCCTATCCTATATTGTCCCACACCGATCCAATATTGTCCTACACACCGATCCTATATTGTCCTACACACCGATCCTACCTTGTCCTACACCTATCCTAGTGTCCTACACCTATCCTACATTGTCCTACACCGATCCTACATTGTCCTACACCGATCCTACATTGTCCTACACCTATCCTACATTGTCCTACACTTATCCTACATTGTCCTACACCGATCCTACATTGTCCTACATCGTTCCTACAAAGTCCTACACCGATCCTACATTGTCCTACACCGATCCTACATCGATCCTACAAAGTCCTACACCGATCCTACATTGTCCTACACCGATCCTACATTGTCCTACATCGATCCTACAAAGTCCTACACCGATCCTACATTGTCCTACACCGATCCTACATTGTCCTTCATCGATCCTACATTGTCCTTCATCGATCCTACATTGTCCTACACCGTTCCTACAAAGTCCTACACCGATCCTACATTGTCCTACACCGATCCTACATTGTCCTACACCGACCCTACATTGTCCTAAACCGATCCTACATTGTGCTACACCTATCCTACATTGTCCTACACCGATTCTACATTGTCCTACACCTACCCTACATTGTCCTACACCTACCCTACATTGTTCTACACTTATCCTACATTTCTCAGTCTATAAAGGTCACCTGATCTCAGGGCCAGATCCTTTATCCATGTAAACTTACTGTGCTATCAGGACTGCCTGCTGGAGCTTCTTCGATGGAGTCCAAGGACGTATCATTCTTCATCTGAAGTTCCATCCTCCCAAACTGGTGGTGGAACCAAACACAAACATGAGAATAAACCACTCAGTACATTGTCCTACACCAATCCTATATTGTCCTACACGGATCCTATATTGTCCTACACGGATCCTATATTGTCCTACACCGATCCTATATTGTTCTATACCGATCCTACATTGTCCCAACCGATCCTATATTGTCCCACACCGATCCTATATTGTCCCACACCTATCCTATATTGTACCACACCTATCCTATATTGTCCTACACTGATCATACATTGTCCTACACTGATCATACATTGTCCTACAGTGATCATACATTGTCCTACACCGATCCTACATTGTCTTACACCGATCCTACATTGTCCTACACCGATCCTACATTGTCCTACACCGATCCTACATTGTCCTACACCTATCCTATATTGTTCTACACCGATCCTACATTGTCCTAAACCGATCCTACATTGTCCTATACTGATCCTACATTGTCCTACACCTACCCTACATTGTCCTACACCTATCCTACATTGTTCTACACCGATCCTACAGTGTCCTACATTTCCCAGTCTATAAAGGTCACCTGATCTCAGGGCCAGATCCTCTATCCATGTAAACTTACTGTGCTATCAGGACTGCCTGCTGGAGCTTCTTCGATGGAGTCCAAGGACGTATCATTCTTCATCTGAAGTTCTATCCTCCCAAACTAGTGGTGGAACCAAACACAAACATGAGAATAAACCGCTCACTACATTGTCCTACACCGATCCTACATTGTCCCACACCGATCTTATATTGTCCCACACCGATCCTATATTGTCCCACACCGATCCTATATTGTCCCACACCGTTCCTACATTGTCCTACATCAATACTGCATTGTCCTACACCAATACTGCATTGCCGCACACCGATACTATATTGTCCCACACCAATACTGCATTGTCCTACACCTATCCTATATTTTCCTACACTGATCCTACACCGATCCTATATTATCCTACACCGATCCTATATTGTCCTAAACCGATCCTATATTGTCCTACACTGATCGTACATTGTCCTACACCTACCCTACATTGTCCTACACCTATCCTACATTGTTCTACACCGATCCTACAGTGTCCTACATTTCCCAGTCTATAAAGGTCACCTGATCTCAGGGCCAGGTCCTGTAAACTTACTGTGCTATCAGGACTGCCTGCTGGAGCTTCTTCGATGGAGTCCAAGGACGTATCATTCTTCATCTGAAGTTCCATCCTCCCAAACTGGTGGTGGAACCAAACACAAACATGAGAATAAACCGCTCACTACATTGTCCTACACCGATCCTACATTGTCCTACACCGATCCTACATTGTCCCACACCTATCCTATATTGTCCCACACCTATCCTATATTGTCCCACACCGATCCTAGTGTCCTACACAGATCCTAGTGTCCTACACCGATCCTACATTGTCCTACACCGATCCTACACCAATACTGCATTGTCCTACACCTATCCTACATTGTCCTACACCGATCCTACATTGTCCTACACCAATACTGCATTGTCCTACACCTATCATTTATTGTCATACACCGATCCTACATTGTCCTACACCTATCCTACATTGTCCTACACCGATCCTACATTGTCCTACACCAATACTGCATTGTCCTACACCTATCATTTATTGTCATACACCGATCCTACATTGTCCTACACCTATCCTACACCTATCCTACACCGATCCTACATTGTCCTACACCGATCCTACATTGGCCTACACCGATCCTACATTGTCCTACACCAATCCTACATTGTCCTACACCGATCCTACATTATCCTACACCGATCCTACATTGTCCTACACCGATACTATCTTGTGCTACACCGATCCTACATTGTCCTACACCTATCCTACATTGTCCTACACCGATCCTACACCTATCCTACATTGTCCTACACCTAACCTATATTGTCCTACACCTATCCTACATTGTCCTACACCGACCCTACAATGTCTTACACCTATCCTATATTGTTCTATACTTATCCTACATTGTCCTACATTTCCTAGTCTATAAAGGTCACCTGATCTCAGGGCCAGATCCTCTATCCATGTAAACTTACTGTGCTATCAGGACTGCCTGCTGGAGCTTCTTCGATGGAGTCCAAGGACGTATCATTCTTCCTCTGAAGTTCTATCCTCTCAAACTGGTGGTGGAACCAAACACAAACATGAGAATAAACCGCTCACTACATTGTCCTACACCGATCCTATATTGTCCTACACCGATCCTACATTGTCCCACACCTATCCTATATTGTCCCACACCTATCCTATATTGTGCTACACCGATCCTAGTGTCCTACACCAATACTGCATTGTCCTACACCTATCGTTTATTGTCCTACACCGATCCTACATTGTCCTACACCGATCCTACATTGTCCTACACCAATCCTACATTGTCATACACCTATACTACATTGTCCTACACCGATCCTACATTGTCCTACACCTATCCTATCCTATAGTGTCCTACACCGATCCTACATTGTCCTACACCAATCCTATATTGTCCTACACCTATCCTACATTGTCCTACACCGATCCTACACCAATCCTACATTGTCATACACCTATACTACATTGTCCTACACCGATCCTACATTGTCCTACACCTATCCTATCCTACATTGTCCTACACCGATCCTACATTGTCCTACACCAATCCTTTATTGTCCTACACCTATCCTACATTCTCCTACACCGATCCTACATTCTCCTACACCGATCCTACATTGTCCTACACTGATACTACATTGTCCTACACCTATCCTACATTGTCCTACACCTATCATAGTCCTACACCGATCCTACATAGTCCTACACCGATCCTACATAGTCCTACACCGATCTTACATAGTCCTACACCGATCCTACATAGTCCTACACCGATCCTACATAGTCCTACACCGATCCTACATAGTCCTACACCGATCCTACATAGTCCTACACCGATCCTACATTGTTCTACACCTATCCTACATTGTACTACACCAATCCTACATTGTCCTACACCTATCCTATATTGTTCTACACCTATCCTATATTGTTCTACACCGATCCTACATTGTCCTACACCGATTCTACATTGTCCTACACCGATCCTATATTGTCCTACACCGATCCTATATTGTCCTACACCGATCCTACATTGTCCTACACCGATCCTACATTGTCCTACACCGATCCTACATTGTCCTACACCGATCCTACATTGTCCTACACCGATCCTACATTGTCCTACACCGATCCTACATAGTCCTGCACTTACCCTACATTGTCCTACTCCTATCCTATATTGTTCTACACTTATCCTACATTGTCCTACACCGATCCTACATTGTCCTACACCGATCCTACATTGTGCTACACCGATCCTATATTGTCCCACACTGATCCTACATTGTCCTACACCAATCCTACATTGTCCTACACCAATCCTACATTGTCCTACACCTACCCTACATTGTCCTACACCTATCCTATATTGTTCTACACTTATCCTACATTGTCCTACACCGATCCTACATTGTCCTACACCGATCCTACATTGTCCTACACCGATCCTACATTGTCCTACACCGATCCTACATTGTCCTACACCTATCCTACATTGTCCTACACCGATCCTACATTGTGCTACAACAATTCTACATTGGAGTGCCGAGGTTGCCTACCCCTGCCATACACCTTTTCTTCCTGGAGATTCTGTAAATCCCAGGCACAGCTCCTATCAGCAGATACAAGTATAATTACACATTCACCTTATTTTCAGTGCTGTCTGGTTCCTGCTGTTCCATTAATAGTGGTAGAATATCCGATATGTAAGTCTGCCACCACAGCACCAGGAATGACAGATGCTGATTGCCGCTCAGAGATTCCTCTTCTACAATCCATTTGGTTTGTGGGTTATAATTACAGTTCCAGGGCTTAGGGGTGCCGATGAAATGAACAACCTTCCCCTCGGAGCCAAATCTGTGAAGGTGAAATATAAACTGCTCATTCACTCATTATATATTATCTGGAAATTATTACACAATATCGAGTATGGCTAAAGCCCAATCACATGTTCCATTATGTGAATGCACACCTGTTAATGCAGTGTTAACATGAATTGCGTTAAGGCAGCTCACTCTTTATGAATGGGCTGCCAACGCCCTATGACGGATGAGAAAACGTGCATGGCCCTTTTTTTCTAAAAATATGCCACCAAATGTAAGTCATTGCTTCGATTCAATGGTGTGTGTAAATTTGCACTTGAGCTATTGAGCTTTGTGCTCCTCACATCAGTGCAAGTGGCACTTAACCACGTAGCGCTGCCATACAACTGCAAAATATTATACAAAAACAGTTTATACCCTCCACTATAACTTTCCTGTACAGATCATGGTAACAGAACAACAGCTGCGCTTACAATTCATTCCAGTGCCCCTACAGAAGTTGTAGGAGTAGAATAAAAGCAGTACAACTGGCCTGCAAAACTGGATTTCCCACGAATGCTAAGCCAAGTAAGAACATACAAGTGTAGAAACTCAGGGGAGGGACAACACCCCAACACCACCCCTAATTTGTTCCGGTTCATCGCTAGAATATTCAGAATCCGGTATAAATGAGGATACGTACTGTTTAAAGGCGGGTGAGTACGTGTAAATAGAACTAATGCTCAAGTTGTAGATGAAGGGGAGATGTTTGCTGATGTCTGCCGTTGCCCAGTTACTAAAGAAACTGTTTAGTAGTCCTTGGTCTCCTCCTGTAATAAATAAAGCATGCAACAATGTACAAAATTAAAAAATAATATGCAGAAACCTGTTAAAGCTTAAACCCCAAACACCTCAACACCTGGCTACTGGAGCTAAAATGACATATTTCACCTGTAGTTCCACCTATTGGTGAAATCTGGTATCACAGGTACAGCAATAAGCAGCCTTATTGCTGAGTGGTTAGAGAGGGGGTACGCAACCCTGGTTGTGGAAATACAACTCCCATGAGGCACTGCAAGACTCTGACAGTCAAAGGTATGACTCCCTGAGGTAGAGGCATAATGGGATTTGTAGTGTCACCAGAGCTGGAGTGCCTTGGTTGGCTACCCTTGGTCTAGACCATAGACGATCAAGAACTGTAAACAACAGGAGGGGCCAACTGTCTACAAGGGGAATGCAGGAGACAGAGACCCGCAGCTGCTACTATATGGTACAGACTGAAATCTACATTTAATCTCACAATCCAGGAGAGGAATCTGAAGGTAAAAACTTTTTTTTAAAGGTGCAAAGTGTCATCCTTATCCTTCTTTCAGTGCTATGGGTGGATTCACATGTTGTGTGTGTGTAAAAGCACATGCAGTTTTTTGTGCTTTTAACATGCTATGGCACTCTTAGGCTCTGTTCACACCTAGGCGTATCAAAAACGCGCGTTTGTTGCGCATTTTTACCGCGATTCGCGGTAAAAAAAACGTGCGACAAACGCGCGTTTCCAAGGGCTACTTGGCTGTATACCAATGGAAACGTGCGACAAAAACGCCGCAAAGAAGCTCATGTACCTTTTCAGGCGTAGGCCGTTTTGTAGCGCGTTCAGACGGGCTGAAATATGGCAAGGTGTGAACCAGACCCATAGAAAACAATGGGATTTTCATGTTTGAGCGTTTTGTAGAGCGTTCGTAGAGCGTTGAACGTGCTACAAAACGTACAGGTGTGAACCAGGCCTAAGTATGCTTTTTATCACTGATGCGTGTTTTAACCTATGCCTACATGCATGTTGTTGTATTTCCCTTCGTACATACTAGCTGCATGCTTGTTCTGTTTTAGTAACTTGCTAAACAATGAAGTGAGAATGAAGATAGCAAGCATAGCCATTTTAGAAAAGCAGCAATGGCAGCTCCCATATCTTTATTCTGACAGATTCCCTTTGAAAATGATAGTTGCCTGGCTGTCTCTGGCCTCCATCGTTTCTCAGTCATTGATCCTGAACAAGCATGCAGCAAGTAAACTCCTTATCAGCCTACTTATTTTGGAGCAGTGATTCATATAATATTAAAATCTTTGGATCACTATGACAGCCAGGTACCTCTCATTTGTTCAGCAACGTCACCCTACAAATTTTATCGGCAAAGTTGCTAAACTGTTACAGTGGAGTTGGATTTTTAATCTTCACAGAAGGCTGAGGTGGCGATTTCATACTGTGGCAGGGATAGTCCCTTCCCATGGCTGTCCGTTGGCAGCCACACGATGAAGCACAATGGCAATGCTTGGCTTACCATCAAAGCTGCCGTGATCTTCTGCATACTTGAGAAGGCGGACGAAGGTCTCCAGGGACGGTCTGAACACAAACACTCCGCTGTTAAAGCAATCCGGCCAACCCGAGTCAGGGGCAGCTGAGAACTCCTCCCGTTCAAACAGCTCGTCTATGTTACAAAGAGCCTATTACAGACAGAGAGCAGAGGCAAGTCTTCCAAGAAATGTACACTGGTGTAGACAGAAATGGGTCAAGTATCAGCAGGAGAGAGTCTCCAAAACTTTATTCTAATCCAAGGAACCAGCCTAGGACCAAAGGGAATGATAGTGGGGTTAGGACACAGCTAGGCTGAAATCTATGGCATGGGCAATTTTTGCTATCAGCATATACACAGGTCTGAACCATCAGGTAGGTGGTTTTTAAAGGAAATTCCCCTCAAATCATCAAAAACGGGCATTTCAGTTAGTTCAATCTGCTGTGCCATTGTTTTCTTATATCTCTTAGACACTCCAGTCATAGGATCTCTACTTTATAGTTCCTGTTCTCTTTCTGGTGTTAATATCCACCTTTGTGTGTCTTGGGCCTAGCAAGGAGAGAGCGAACCCCACATATCGGACACAACAGGTGTGCAGACCCGGGAACTCAGCCCAGAGATCTCACCTGTAGATAGAAGAGGTATCGGGTGGTTGAACTCTCAAGCATCTACCAAGCACTAAAATATTTTGGGTGGACTGACTCTATAACAGCTGTAATTCACCGGTAAATTGGCTTCCAATTGGCTTTCCCCTCACCTTCTGTTTCCCCAGTGACACCCGGTGTGTCAGGGTATGGCCTGGTGTCAATAGGACAGGAAGAACGGGGAAATGTCCCTTACAGGAGGTAGAATACGTCTATTTATTGACGTACATGCAAAAGAAGTAGCATAGCACAGTCAATGCGATGTTTCGGGGTCACGTAAGATCCCCTTCATCAGGCAGAAGAAGTGATGAAGGGGATCCTACGTGACCCCGAAACGTCGCATTGACTGTGCTATGCTACTTCTTTTGCATGTACATCAATAAACAGACGTATTCTACCTGCTGTTGGAGTGCCGGTGTCCACATTCTTTTGTATCACTGTGACAGTGGCCATCCGTCGACTACCGAGCACCCATGTTATTCTGATGGATGAGCAGTCAGGAGTGCAATGGGTACATGGACTATGTCCCTTACAGGGACACTGACAATATAATAATATACAAAACCAGGAGTATGTCGAGTGATGAGACCAAAACTAGTCACAGCCATAAATGCAATGTTTGAAGAGGAGTCAACAAGGCCTTTAATGAGAAGCACACCATCCCTATTGCATTCATGAGCCAGGAAGCTGCGCATGGGGCACACTAGGCCTTTCCAACATAGAAAAGAGCCAAAATATTAGGTAACACTTCAGTGAAAGCAAGAGAAAAAACTGGAGGCTCAGTGATGCTGACCTCAGGTCCATTGAGCAACTTTTGGGGAGATCTCAAGCATGAGAAACATGTTAGACAACATAAGAATTTACAGGACCTGGAGGCTTTTGGTTAAGAAGAAATGGGCAGCTTTATCATGGGGGTGGATACATTAATATGGAATTCAAGATCCAGCCTGTGCAATCCAGGAGCCAGCAGGATTTTTTCTTTAGGAGCTCGCTCCATTGACAACTAGATAAAAACCTCAAAAGTTGTGTGCCAGCTGTCATTTTTAAGGAACATTGGTGACCAGGCTCCTGGACATTTTCCAGCCCTGCTTTATCACATGATAAAATAAAGAGCTTCATTCACAACTATCTCAGAAGACTTCAAGCCGTCATTAATGAAAAGGTGGGAATGCATGGTATCAAGAACTAAGAGTATACCTCATTTCAAACTGGACCATCCTGAAGCCAGAGACAGCCATGGACCTGGTAATCTTATAAGGGGGTCAGAAAGGGTAGTGTATTTCTTTCAGTGCACTCTTAAAATTAGAGAGGGGATTAAAAATCATATGTAGTGATCTGGTCCACTTCAATAAAGCCAAACTAAAACCCAAGAGCTGTTGTCTGGAGGTCCATCCCATACACACTTGTAATCAGAGTCCAGAGTCCTATAATCAGGGCTTTCATCCCTAAAGACTCTTGGGTTCACCGATGAATATGTCCCGCATTTTACAAGGAGGACCCAATATGTTCATATAGACTTCTGCCATACTCACGATGGTGTCAGCATCCATGTACACGCACTTTGTGTACTGTGTGAGGGTCCAGCACTGGATCTTGGTGAAGGTTACCCCAAGTTCTGGTCGCTTCAGCAAGGACAAGCGTACCGTGTCTGCGCTGTCCAAGATGTCCACTTCAACTACTTTGTCAAAGACGTCACTGAGGATTCCCCTTCCAAAAGAAAAACAACAATTTACCAATGTGCCTGCACCGTCTAAGAGCTAGAATCAATGGGCCTCTATATAAAAAACAGGGTCTGGTATTTTTAGAATGTGGTATAGGGTTGGCTTCACACAGGTACCCTTTGATCCCTGATTCTGGAAAAAGATACAAGCATGACTGGAGAGGGATGGAGGGCAGAGCAAGATAGACCTGATGAGCTGTATATAGGAGGTTAGAAGTCAGAGAAAAGTACCTCCCACCAGACTTGTCTCCAATGCCTCCCTGTAGAAACTATGCCAAAACCAAGGGATGCATTTATTAAAAAAATTGTAGAGCCATCTGTCCTGAGAAACTTCCATGTACATTAATTCTGTGAGAATAGAAGCAAAAACAAATGGTTTTGGCATATTTTCTTTCCAGGTTGAATGTAATACCAGAAAAATACCACATTATGGCCACCAGATGGAGCTGAGGAGCATAGGAAATAAGTATTTTCTTCCTATGCTCCTCAGCTCCATCTAGTGGCCATAACACAGTATTCTCCTGATGCGCTCTAATTTTATGAAGCCGTGTCATTACACGGCATCCTGATTGGCTGGCTTCTCGACCAATGAGGAAACCGAGCAGCAAGTCATTACACGAGTCATTGTACTCGTACATTGTACGAGTACTCGCCCAAATACTTGGCATCGGCACCGATACTAGTATTGGTGCATCCCTAGTTATAACCCTCCCTTACGCTATCTAAAACCTAAAAAATTCTAATTTAATCCTTTTCTAAAAGATTGTGCTTATTATGACAACAAACAGCTTTTTTGTGGGCTAAGTGGTGTCAGCCCTCTCCAGTTGCCTTTTGCGAAACCACTGAAGCCCTCCCACATCCCCTATTCTCTACAATGCAGACACTAATTATTCTGCAGTCCAAGATAAGAACTAGAAGGGCCGATGAGACTCCTGGAGATAACACAGGAAATGAGCACATGACAGCTCGGAATTTCTGACCGCATCAACAGGCAGTAGATCATTCTTGGGGTTTACATACATGTTAAAGGAGAACTATGAGATGAGTGATTTCCACTCATCTCATAGTTCTAAGCCGACCTGTGACAATGAGACTGTCACAGGTCGGCTCAGTAGATCGGGAGGTGAGGGAACACATACCGGGTTTCGCTCGCCTCTCACACCTTCGTTACACCTTCACCATTGACTCCAAGCTATTTCACCAACACAAAGCACGATATGTCGCTCTTACCTCATCCGACCCGTGACCTCTGACGTGATCATGACCACCAGCTGATGGGATGTTTTGTGATTTCTTAATGATTTCCCGAGGACCAACGCTCCCTGACAATAGAGGTCGTTGGTGCCGAGGGTGACAAAGGCTTGGTCTGTAACTGAAAGACAACAAGGGAAACGAGGGGCATCACTGATCTGGAAGCGACACACACACATACATGTTCACATGGCCTTTTAAAATGGTGTCACACAAGCAGTGGCCCTGCTCCACTTATCTAGCCCCCCCACCAATAGCACCCCACTCTTCATCTATATGATGGTGGTCCCCATCCTGAAAGATTGTTGTCCAGGCCCTCTACAGGAGTAATGCATTTACTTCTCCAGGGGCATCCCTGCTCCTAAATTTAGGTGTGAGGGGCTGCACATTGATTTTCAACCAAAACCAAAGTCTGTTCACTTCAACTTGGCTGCTGACTGCAAAAATGGGGGCCCTCCCTGCTGTAAGGTGGGGGGAGGGTCACCCGAACTGAGAAATCCACATGTAGATGGGCCAAATGAGAGCGCCACATCAGGTGATAGGAGTCAGAAAGTCTTCAATTAAATGTCTGCCTACAATGAGAACATAAATACAGGCAACGCGTTTTGGGGGTCAAAAACATCCCCCTTTATCAGCGCTACAAAACAATGTAAATAAGGGCAGCTAAAAACATACACAGCACAAAACGTTCTGGCTCTATTTGAACTCTGATTGTCATCTTGCTATTGATGTATGCGATGGACACGTAAAGACACATTTTCAGAGATTATATCGATATATTTGCTTTTTTCCTTATGATCGGGGCCAGTTTTGGGCAAAGTGTGGCCCCCCAGATGTTAAAAGTTGGTGGCTGTCTAAATTGACCCTACTATACATGTGAGATAGGGACCTTAGATTGTAAGCTCCTTGGGTGCAGGGACTGATGTGCATGTACAGTATGTAAATTGTCAGCGTTATATAAATACCTGTAATAAATGAGTAATGAGTGGAGCTTTACTTACCAGGCATTGTGAATGGACGTAGAATCAGCCTCTGTAGAAATGTATCATCAGATCCTTCAATGTGTTCCTACAAATAATAACAGTAACATCTCATCAAATACTATGGTTCTATCCAGAAGATCCCCCACCTCAGTCCATATAGAACCATCTCCTCACATACTATGTATGACTCTACCCAACAGATCCCCCACCACAGTCCATAACAGACCCATCTCCTCACATACTATGTATGACTCTACCCAACAGTTCCCCCACCACCGTCAATGACAGATCTCCTCACATACTATGTATGACTCTACCCAACAGATCCCCCACCACAGTCCATAACCGACCCATCTCCTCACATACTATGTATGACTCTACCCAACAGATCCCCCACCACAGTCCATAGTTCTTATATAATATTCACATAGCAGAAATTCCATTCTGTAAATCAATAACTCTCCTGTAGACACAGGCACACACCTATGAAATAATACTCATGATGGCAGGGAACCATTCTTATAACGATTCATATATAGAGGGTGACACATGGGGGCCTATTTAATAAACATAGTCAGGGGCGCAGTCCAACATGTTATAACCCAAAGTAATCAGAATTTGCATTAGTAAAGTCAGGCTAGGACGCCCCGGGTTCTGATGGGTTTATAAGAGGACTGCACTCTGCATTTGACTCTGTGTATGAATGGGCCTGATGGTGTCACATTCCCCTTTAAATCGGTTTCTTAATCAAGCATCTGAGTTCCTAGCTCCGCCCACACAACTACATCCCAGCAGCTGAGTTCCCAGCTCCGCCCACACAACTACATCCCAGCAGCTGAGTTCCCAGCTCCGCCCACACAACTACATCCCAGCAGCTGAGTTCCCAGCTCCGCCCACACAACTACATCCCAGCAGCTGAGTTCCCAGCTCCGCCCACACAACTACATCCCAGCAGCTGAGTTCCCAGCTCCGCCCACACAACTACATCCCAGCAGCTGAGTTCCCAGCTCCGCCCACACAACTACATCCCAGCAGCTGAGTTCCCAGCTCCGCCCACACAACTACATCCCAGCAGCTGAGTTCCCAGCTCCGCCCACACAACTACATCCCAGCAGCTGAGTTCCCAGCTCCGCCCACACAACTACATCCCAGCAGCTGAGTTCCCAGCTCCGCCCACACAACTACATCCCAGCAGCTGAGTTCCCAGCTCCGCCCACACAACTACATCCCAGCAGCTGAGTTCCCAGCTCCGCCCACACAACTACATCCCAGCAGCTGAGTTCCCAGCTCCGCCCACACAACTACATCCCAGCAGCTGAGTTCCCAGCTCCGCCCACACAACTACATCCCAGCAGCTGAGTTCCCAGCTCCGCCCACACAACTACATCCCAGCAGCTGAGTTCCCAGCTCCGCCCACACAACTACATCCCAGCAGCTGAGTTCCCAGCTCCGCCCACACAACTACATCCCAGCAGCTGAGTTCCCAGCTCCGCCCACACAACTACATCCCAGCAGCTGAGTTCCCAGCTCCGCCCACACAACTACATCCCAGCAGCTGAGTTCCCAGCTCCGCCCACACAACTACATCCCAGCAGCTGAGTTCCCAGCTCCGCCCACACAACTACATCCCAGCAGCTGAGTTCCCAGCTCCGCCCACACAACTACATCCCAGCAGCTGAGTTCCCAGCTCCGCCCACACAACTACATCCCAGCAGCTGAGTTCCCAGCTCCGCCCACACAACTACATCCCAGCAGCTGAGTTCCCAGCTCCGCCCACACAACTACATCCCAGCAGCTGAGTTCCCAGCTCCGCCCACACAACTACATCCCAGCAGCTGAGTTCCCAGCTCCGCCCACACAACTACATCCCAGCAGCTGAGTTCCCAGCTCCGCCCACACAACTACATCCCAGCAGCTGAGTTCCCAGCTCCGCCCACACAACTACATCCCAGCAGCTGAGTTCCCAGCTCCGCCCACACAACTACATCCCAGCAGCTGAGTTCCCAGCTCCGCCCACACAACTACATCCCAGCAGCTGAGTTCCCAGCTCCGCCCACACAACTACATCCCAGCAGCTGAGTTCCCAGCTCCGCCCACACAACTACATCCCAGCAGCTGAGTTCCCAGCTCCGCCCACACAACTACATCCCAGCAGCTGAGTTCCCAGCTCCGCCCACACAACTACATCCCAGCAGCTGAGTTCCCAGCTCCGCCCACACAACTACATCCCAGCAGCTGAGTTCCCAGCTCCGCCCACACAACTACATCCCAGCAGCTGAGTTCCCAGCTCCGCCCACACAACTACATCCCAGCAGCTGAGTTCCCAGCTCCGCCCACACAACTACATCCCAGCAGCTGAGTTCCCAGCTCCGCCCACACAACTACATCCCAGCAGCTGAGTTCCCAGCTCCGCCCACACAACTACATCCCAGCAGCTGAGTTCCCAGCTCCGCCCACACAACTACATCCCAGCAGCTGAGTTCCCAGCTCCGCCCACACAACTACATCCCAGCAGCTGAGTTCCCAGCTCCGCCCACACAACTACATCCCAGCAGCTGAGTTCCCAGCTCCGCCCACACAACTACATCCCAGCAGCTGAGTTCCCAGCTCCGCCCACACAACTACATCCCAGCAGCTGAGTTCCCAGCTCCGCCCACACAACTACATCCCAGCAGCTGAGTTCCCAGCTCCGCCCACACAACTACATCCCAGCAGCTGAGTTCCCAGCTCCGCCCACACAACTACATCCCAGCAGCTGAGTTCCCAGCTCCGCCCACACAACTACATCCCAGCAGCTGAGTTCCCAGCTCCGCCCACACAACTACATCCCAGCAGCTGAGTTCCCAGCTCCGCCCACACAACTACATCCCAGCAGCTGAGTTCCCAGCTCCGCCCACACAACTACATCCCAGCAGCTGAGTTCCCAGCTCCGCCCACACAACTACATCCCAGCAGCTGAGTTCCCAGCTCCGCCCACACAACTACATCCCAGCAGCTGAGTTCCCAGCTCCGCCCACACAACTACATCCCAGCAGCTGAGTTCCCAGCTCCGCCCACACAACTACATCCCAGCAGCTGAGTTCCCAGCTCCGCCCACACAACTACATCCCAGCAGCTGAGTTCCCAGCTCCGCCCACACAACTACATCCCAGCAGCTGAGTTCCCAGCTCCGCCCACACAACTACATCCCAGCAGCTGAGTTCCCAGCTCCGCCCACACAACTACATCCCAGCAGCTGAGTTCCCAGCTCCGCCCACACAACTACATCCCAGCAGCTGAGTTCCCAGCTCCGCCCACACAACTACATCCCAGCAGCTGAGTTCCCAGCTCCGCCCACACAACTACATCCCAGCAGCTGAGTTCCCAGCTCCGCCCACACAACTACATCCCAGCAGCTGAGTTCCCAGCTCCGCCCACACAACTACATCCCAGCAGCTGAGTTCCCAGCTCCGCCCACACAACTACATCCCAGCAGCTGAGTTCCCAGCTCCGCCCACACAACTACATCCCAGCAGCTGAGTTCCCAGCTCCGCCCACACAACTACATCCCAGCAGCTGAGTTCCCAGCTCCGCCCACACAACTACATCCCAGCAGCTGAGTTCCCAGCTCCGCCCACACAACTACATCCCAGCAGCTGAGTTCCCAGCTCCGCCCACACAACTACATCCCAGCAGCTGAGTTCCCAGCTCCGCCCACACAACTACATCCCAGCAGCTGAGTTCCCAGCTCCGCCCACACAACTACATCCCAGCAGCTGAGTTCCCAGCTCCGCCCACACAACTACATCCCAGCAGCTGAGTTCCCAGCTCCGCCCACACAACTACATCCCAGCAGCTGAGTTCCCAGCTCCGCCCACACAACTACATCCCAGCAGCTGAGTTCCCAGCTCCGCCCACACAACTACATCCCAGCAGCTGAGTTCCCAGCTCCGCCCACACAACTACATCCCAGCAGCTGAGTTCCCAGCTCCGCCCACACAACTACATCCCAGCAGCTGAGTTCCCAGCTCCGCCCACACAACTACATCCCAGCAGCTGAGTTCCCAGCTCCGCCCACACAACTACATCCCAGCAGCTGAGTTCCCAGCTCCGCCCACACAACTACATCCCAGCAGCTGAGTTCCCAGCTCCGCCCACACAACTACATCCCAGCAGCTGAGTTCCCAGCTCCGCCCACACAACTACATCCCAGCAGCTGAGTTCCCAGCTCCGCCCACACAACTACATCCCAGCAGCTGAGTTCCCAGCTCCGCCCACACAACTACATCCCAGCAGCTGAGTTCCCAGCTCCGCCCACACAACTACATCCCAGCAGCTGAGTTCCCAGCTCCGCCCACACAACTACATCCCAGCAGCTGAGTTCCCAGCTCCGCCCACACAACTACATCCCAGCAGCTGAGTTCCCAGCTCCGCCCACACAACTACATCCCAGCAGCTTAGTTCCCAGCTCCGCCCACTCACTGCCTCTATCAAATAGAATGTTTCTCTTCTTGGAGGAACATTCTTTTATTCTACATCACAGAGCATGGAGTAAGCATGGATTCCATGTTAGGAAGGGGGCAAACTTTAGCTAGGATCGGTGGGGGGCGGGGGTGGGGTGTCTATGCTATGACCCCGCCACAGCAAGAACCAATACATCACTCCACCTATAAGTTGGATGCCACTTTGGGGTGGCTCAGCAGGTCTGCACGAACCTTGCCAGTCAATCTCTGCCCTCCATTCACACCCCCCTGATACAGTACCAGCTGTCAGAACACCACACTGAGCCCTCCATGCCATGCTGTTACTGGCAGCCCCCTGCAATGCCGCACAGATCTCCGCACACCGACATGCAGGCTGGTGACATGTATGGGGGGGGTTAGCAGGGACAACCTTGTGCCCCGAGGATCGGCATGACTCAGGCTGCAGTACCCGGGCGCTCAGCGATCATGCAATCCCTATGTAGACCTGGTGTGCAGGAAGTCCTCTGGTTGCCCTTGTCTGCGGGTGTCGCGCTGGGGACCCTGAGGACTCTCCGGGCTCCTGTGACGTCTCGGCTGGTGGGCGGGGCAGCGCTGATGGGTATACACGGAGGCGGGGCTGGGACGGCGGGCAGGGGGGCGGAGCTAGCGGCATGTCACCCTCCGCAGTGTGCTGTCTTCCCTGCCAGGGACGGGTCACAGTCCGTCCCTTTCATATCACTGACCATTAAAGGGAACCTGTCACCAGGAAAAGCTGAATGGCAACCCTAAAAGAGGATTCACACCAGGCTGGTCTGCTGCCATGTATTTTATTACATCATGCATGCACGTTAGCGTGCATCCTTAACGCATCAATGTGCGTTGCTTTAAAGCAGCCTATGAGGTTGCACAGACCAAAAATTATGCATGCAAATTTTCGGTCATGGCAGCGTAACACAAGTTCATTCCGAAGGGCAATGCAAGGCGCTAAGACACAGCAGCAGCTCCGACGCACTTGCGTTGCAGGTCACCGCAATGCACTTCCAGTGCAATGCGTTGAAAATGTGCTGCACATGCGTTGTCCGTTCTGGTGTATTAGCTCATTAACCCTTTGAGGGACTTTTTTTGTTTTTAATGCCTGATTTCTCACCCCCGCCCCCAAATATTATATCATTTCAGAGGATAAAATGGTGGCAGCTGCAATTTGTAATAAAAAAAACAAAACATTTAATTCACTATAGTTTTTTTTTTAATTTACTGATAAGCCTCCTATGTGATAGTATGATGCAGGTGACGGGTTCTCTTTAAGATTGATAAATGGGTCGCCTGAAGAAGCCACTTGGTTCCGAAACGTCGCTGCCATAAATGTGACACTATCTCAGTCAATAAAAGAGATGGAGTGCGAGGGATTTATCGATTTAGTACTATTGGCGGAGGCGTCTGCGGTCGCATCGGCACCCACCCGATCTTTGGGTTTGTTTCCGGTCAGGAGTGCGGGGGGATATACCTTGGACTTAGGTTCTCTTTACGGAGACATCAGGGGTCTGTTAGTCACTCGCCTGCAGATAAATGAGACCAGATAAAAAAAACTGTGGCCACGGATGAAGTCCTCCTATCCATGGTGGAGAAAGGGTTATAAATGAATGGGCTGCCTTAATGCAATGCATCCTGTGTGACACGTTTTTAATAAAAACAGCAAAGTGTGAATGGTCCCTCGCCGGCAGCTTGCTGGAGCACTGTGTATTTTTAAATAATTCCCTTTTTATTTTTGTCACAAAATACACGTTAACCTTTTTTTTATGGGCCACGTTGCATCTCAGTGCTGCTGATTTCCTGCACACACTCCCTGCCTCGTCCAGTGATGGTGTGTGTCCTTTCTCCAGGTACGTTTCCTGATGGGGAGAATGTGTTGTGGTGTAGTACTGCATTATGGCCACAAGATGGAGCTGAGGCACAAAGTGTGCTTATAGCTCATGCTCTTCAGCGCCATCTAGTGGCCATAATGCAGTACTACACCACCATACATTTGACCTATAAAGAAAATATATTAAGAATATTTTTTTTCTCATTATTTACACAAAACGAATGTGCCCAGATATCCACATGGTGAATTGTTTATACATATACCCCTTTGTGTCTGGCAGTGTGTACTACAAGGTGCTAGGAGCTGCCTTCTTGTTTTGTAAATGTTGCAGGATTTCTGAATTGGAACTTTAATGCTCAATCAATCAATATCTCTCTCAGGAGCCTATAGGAGACAGAGGAGGCTTTTCCCTTTATAGTTATCGGTCACATTGCAGTCTCTGTCAAATACCTCTTCACCCTCTGCCTGTGATTGGACAATAGAGCATCAGAAGAGTCATCACTCATTTCTCTCCTCCTGTCAGCATGCAGGAGCACCTGATTGGCTCCTAAACTGGGAGAGGAAGGAGCAGCCTAAAGCGCTGCTGTATAGGGGATTACTAAATGCTCAGAAGCCAAATCCAGGTACTTACTAGAACTAGCTTGGCGTAGTGATGTCACTGCGGGCTGTTCATTCACCACTAGCACACTCCATATGGCAGTGCCTAGCTCCACCAATCTCCATTAAATAGACAAAGTTCATCTCTGCCCACCAAGCATGACATTGCGGGAGGAGTAGTTTTGGTGATAAAAGGGTAGGTTCACTTTCCCAAGTAAATTTGGGAATATGGAATTACCCGCCCAAATCCGATGACCGGCTCTGATGAAGCAGGCGCTATACCTGAGGAATGCGTTTGTTTTTCCATGTAAGCCTGTGCAGAGAACAGAGCTGTGGGAGGGACCCAGCAGGCCCCACCTACAGGAGACAAGACCAGTCACCCTGCACAAGGAGAGAGAAGCAGGAGTGAGCGGTCTTTATTACAGGAGGGGGCAGAGACAAGACCAGTCATCCTGCACAAGGAGTGAGAACAGCAGCGACTGGTCTTTATTACAGGCGGGGGAGGAGACAGGACCAGTCATCCTGCACAAGGAGAGAGAGTAGCAGTGAGCGGTCTTTATTACAGGGAGCTCACACTGGATCGCTGTGCAGATCCGGAAGAATTACACAAAGCTCGCCAAGATTCCAGTAACAGTACACATGACTCTTGTATGAGGACAATATTTACTTATCCTGAAGTTCAGCTTTAGAGATAATTTTCAGGGGCAGATCGATGAATAACCTTTAGTAACATAAGTGGCCCTGTATTATGGTGTATGTAGCCCAAAGCATTTAGCTTTAGATTAGAGAAGGGTTAGTTTATTTATTTTGCTGTGCGTCTCATTGGGGGAGATTTCCCTTCACTACCCGTCCTGAAGATGCCACAGGAAGTAAAAGGAAATCTCTGAGGGGAAGTCTCCTGTTAGTGGTCACTGTCAGATATGCCCCTATTGTAAGATTTTTCCTTTACTTCCTGTTCTGGTGACAACAGTAAACTTTTGATATTTCCTGTCTTGGTAACAATTTTCAGGAGAAATGAATGTCCCCAGGGATCACAGCAATAAAATCTTGGCATGGGTTCTAACCCTTCTCTAGTCTTGGCTATACGTGTAGTTGAAATTGCTAATGTAGTCTTTATCAAATGAACAATCAAAATGTCATTTTTTTTTGGTGGACAGACCCTTTAAAGTGGGTGGGCAACACCGGTCCTCCAGCTGTGTTTTAACTACAAATTCCATGATGCCTCTGCGAGTCATGCCTGTAACTCAGTCTTGCAATGCCTTATGGGATTTGTAGTTCCATAACAGCCGGAGTTGCCTACTCCAGCTTTAAATTTGGAAGCCTTTTCTAAAACAACCTTGAAATGTGATTCTGTTCCAGGAAAAGAAGAGTGAGACACAACATATGTAGATGTATAATCTAGAACAGTGGTTCTCAACCTGTGTAACCTCGGGACCCACATGTTTCCTTGGTCATTAAGGCGTGACCCAAAAATGATTTCAGTTCTGAAACATTTTAATTTATTACACAAAACAACTTGTGCAGTATTCAGCTATATATATACATACATACATACATACATATACACATACACACACCTATGAATAATAGAAGTAAAATCAACAGATTTTTATTACTGCAGTCAAGTATTTATGGTAGGGGGACACTTGCATGACGTAGGTAAAGGCGTACACAACCTCGGCGGCACTTCAGCTGTGGTGAAAGTACAAATCCCATCAGGCCTCTGCTTCTGGGAGTCATGCCCATGGCTGTCAAGTCTTGCAAGGCCTCATGGAACTTGTCGTACCACAACAGCTGGAGTGTCAAGGTTGCCCACCCCTGATCTAAGTCATAAGAGTCTATTTATAAATTTTCTGCCCAGCCACTTGCACGGCCTTTCCATATCTGGGTTGAGCAGAGGAAGAGCAGTGTTGCTCCTCGGCTCCATCTAGTGGCGAGGATGCTGTGCGAACGCCATTCACCCAGAATATGGCCGAGCAGAAGATTTATAAATCGCCTTTTTTCCTTTCTATAATCTCATCGATTGGATAAGTGTTTTTAATCGGAGCATTTCTAGGAATAGAGATCACAGACTCCTAACAGCACGTCCTCCCCCATCATCGCCGCAAGAACTCACAACGCACAGTTTTTATTTTTTGTAATATTCTTTAATTTAAGGCTATAGGAGATCACTTTTTAAGGCATTATTCATAAAAAATAACAAAAAATATACAATTTACAGAACAATGTGGAACTTCCAAATAGTAAAATGTGCCAAAACCGGACTTCTTGTCCGCATTCCACGCTAAACAAACTTAAAAGGAACCGCTTAGGATCTCGTACTCTCCCCAGTCACATGAGGAGGAGATCTCAGCTTCTATGGTACAGCGATCTCAGATGCCGCGTTCATTGTGCCAAAATGTCAATTCAGAACATAACAGGGAGGAGCCTCTGGTTTATAGAGGGCGTCACTGTGTGAAAGTGAAAGTCCAGACAATTCTTTTTTGTTTCATTTTTGGATGTATTGGAGAAAGATTGGACCCCCTGTAGAGTTTTTACTGCCGTTTGGTGCTCACTTGCTGTACACGGTGTCGGAGGATTCACCAGACAGGAAGTGAGGAATACATTCACCAACATTTGTAAATAATATTTATGTGGAGCAGGAAAGTAGAACTGGACAGGTTTTTATTTTGTTGTTTCGATTGGAGATTTCCCTTCACTTCCTGGCTGGTGAAATGGTGGTCAGTGGTACAGAAGTCTGGTGTGGGTGTGCGAGTGTGTGTGTATATATATATATATTTTAAATCTCGGCAGCGGTTCTTAGGCTGGCGATACACGTGAAGACTTCTCTCGCTCAGTCCTAAGGCTGAACCATTTCAGTGTGGGCCGTCTATGGTAGGTTTAAAGCAGAAATTCAGGCAAATTAAATCTTAACCCTGGCAGTTTGTCTATGCCGGAGTTCTATCGAAAGCTCCAACTACCTCACTGCCGGGTACTTGCACGTTGGAGACTTTGACCAGACGGCGTTAGACTGCAAAACACAAAGACTGACTGAGCTCCGTACAGCTGCATGTTAACCATATTCAGCAGGTGGCAAA